CAGCCGCCTTGACGGCCGCTGCGGTCTCGTGTCTCTCTCGGTCCACCTCGCGTTGCGTGTGTGCTTTCTTCCGTATTTTCCGAGCGGCGAGTTTCCTCGCATCAATCCATCTCTGCAGAGCTCGGTTCTTGCCTGTGGTGTTTTGACGAGGAGGGTGCAGCACTCCCTCCCCGCGGTGCCCGCGGTTGTCTCCCTTCTCCCGCGAGCAGTGCTTACTGACGTGGTGTTTACGAATCTCCCTACTCCTCCAGCTTCGTGGGCCACGCTTTCCGCGACGGTGGTTCCCAAGTGCAGTTTGCCGCTTTGCATTACTGCCGCGGGAACAGTGTCCATACACACCTCTCGCCACTACCACCGTCTGTGCATCCTCACCGCCACGCCGAGCCAACGCGTCGGTGAGTTGCACCTTGGGACACCACCCGCCTACTATCTGTTGTGGCCTGGTTCGCCCGCGAGGGACTCGCTAGGTCGATTTCGGCCCCGGCTGGGGAGCAGGCCGAGCGGAGGGAAGGAGAGTAGTGTGTTATCGTGTGTCATGTATGGTAGGGACCGACCGTGAAAATCATGCAACGATAACACAGCAATTCGCCCGGGCTACAAGAGGACAACGGATGCGCAAGAAGGAAGAATGCATGGATAGGATAGTAGGGAGAGCCAATAGAGTACCTTGGGCTTCTTCTTCTTGCCCGCGCCAGGTACCTTGGTGCTTCGAGTAATAGGCGTAGGACGCAGCCCAGAGAAGCCTCCCTTTCGGCCCTTGCAACAAGGGCCTGAACTAGCTATGTCACGTGTACTTGCTGTTGTCAACAATCGCGCCACGGGTGTTGAGGGGTATAAGCAACGATGGGCCTGGGAAGCCCGATGCATTGGAGACTCTGTTGATGTGTGTCAGAATCTCTCAAGGGAAAGTCAAGTGGGGAGGGGAGAGTTCGGCGGGGACGGTTGGCGTCAAGTCAAGCAATAGGGGGCACATGGAGGACATCCCATGGTTTTGAGCATACGTGTATCCTGTCGACATGGTCGCGTCACGGGGCCTCTGGTCTCCATGAATGACGAACAACCAGCACACGACAGGTTCGAATCTTCTGATGCCCTAGATTCCTTGTGTGCAGGAGCCTCCACCCCTGCTGCATATCCTTCCTCCCTTCCTACACGGCGCTGCTGCCGCTGTTTTACGCTCGCGTTCGAATCAGCCTGTTTTGCCGGCGGTGAACAGGTCAAGCGCAGGTGAGAAAACCGAGCTGCACCTAACCAAGCAACGTGTGTGGAGGCTAGCTACACAGCTTGCTGGCGTGGGCGTGACACGAAGCCTGTTGCAGCAATGTTCGTTAGAAAACCCCTTGCCGCCAAGTGCGCTTTCCTCCCCCACCCGGTATCCATCCTGTGACTGCTGTTGGTCCTGTGCCTGCGGTGTCCTGAGAAGCTCTTTGGACGTTTCGGTTCAGTCGGAGTGCCTCCATCTGCCCCTCTTGTGTATCTGGGGGAGAGAAACAGCTGACGCGCACACCCAGCATCAGCCAGCATTTGAAAATCCCACACCGAGCACACAGCCAGCAGGTGAAGTCTCTACGGGCCAACTACTCACAGCAATCAGCACAGCTACTATACTTCCTCGCTGCCCGCCGAATGTCGAAGAACCAGCTCTCGCGACGGCGAACATCTCTACTGGAAAATGCGTTTTGCAGGCGTCGGCGTACATGCTCCCTCACAGAATATGTTGGTGAATGCTGTGTGTGAGATGACCTGCCTCATTGCATACCCCCCCATTGTGTTGGTCTCATCGGCACACACATGTAGAGAGAGGTTCCAAACCCGGGAATAGTGAGGGATACAAGCAGACGATGCAGCCGTTCAGACCAGCAGCCTGAGTATATCCGCATGCATGTATCCTACACGACAGGGTCAACCATGCGCTCTGCTTGAGCAGTGTCATTCCAGCGTGTAGTCTACCGTAGTACAAGAGCCGGACTCAACGAGAGTGGACGCTGATCTGTGTGGCACTGAAAGTTCAATGACGCGCAAATCATTATTTGAGCACATAGTCTACAGAATTTGCGACAGGCCCAAACTCTACTGCTGTGCGAACAACCAGTCTCTGGGAGGGACAGAAGTACATGGGTTATGCCGCGGTCGGCGCAACCCCTCATCTTCCCTACCGCTGTATACTACGACCACCTTGCAGAGCTGAAGAGCGGTATTGTGATCTCCCGCACCGGAACCCTCCGTTTTCCTCATCACTTGCAGCAGTTGTATTAACCTTTAAGTATCACTGCTGTCATACAACATTCCTGCCTTCAGAGGTCGCACGCCGCACGCCCTTGGACCGGACTTGAAAGGCGGACGAATCCACCACAAAAGAGGATGCTAAAATCAAAATACTTGCTTTCGGAAAAGCTCTCAACGAGGCGGTTCACAAAACCCCGCCAGTTTTGGGCACCGTCGTCACTGCTTTCGCTTTGGAAAGCAGTGGAGCTGTCGAAAAAATCGATGTACAGGGGGGTATGGTGTCTTCCGCGACCTTCGACATGCGGATGCAAAATATTTACTCGATTTTAGTGTAGGGATTCTTAATCCTCGAAGAACCTAGCTAGTTAAAGCTTACAGGCCCAGACAAACATCCCATCCGCTTATTGGGGGAGCCTGTACAGTCCAGACGGACAGAAAAGTGTCCCCAAATGCATGGGAGACACTTCCATGCTGAAGCCATGTCGTGAAATTTACTAGTTCTACATAGGCCAACAGACTATCAACGAGGTGACACGCTGCTTGGGAAATATGTGGACAGCAAATCAGACGCCAAGGAGAGGCATCACTCAGTACCATATCAAACAGCTCCAAGCTGGTAGACCAAGGTTTCGCACGTGCGGTACGGCCTTGCGGCGGAGTTGGTGAGGGCAACGTGCGTTCAACAGACATACGAGTGCTGCGTCCCCAAATTGTCCCCATTATTGCGGCCACTAAATACTAAACGGGTGAACCGAACTCACAAATGGTGCTCAAGTTCTTGCCATGTTTTTTGGTGGTATGATTTGAGCAGGGAAGTCTTAGCTACCAAGTTCTGACGCGCGGTCGCTCACTGCTGTTGTACTCTACACTATCTTACTACAAGTAGGCGGTTTGCTGCTGAGTGGTAGCTGCAGGGGGGCTGGGGGGGCGGCATGAGACGATGCGTAAAACGGCACACAAGGCCCACCAACAAATCGCAACACCCACCGGCAAGCCAACTCTCCCACAAGTGAGACTACAGGATGCGGAAACTCGGGGGGCGTAAATGCCGCCAAGTTAGCGAAGGACAGCCAATGCTCTACTGCGTTCTCGCGAAAGCAGAGCATCAGAGCAGCCCGATCGGACAGCAATCAACCCCTAACCTCGTGCAGGCCCTCGCCCCCCCGGAAAACATGAGACAGCGAAGAAGGATGGACCGTTAATTGGTAAAATCTCGAACGAACAGCAGTATTTCTTTGACCGTTTTTGTATGTTTATAAAAAAAATGCACTTGTACAACTACTATCTGTATCCTGTGCTCGGGCTCTCGCCGCCGAACAACACACCCAGGTGCTCTGCGGTTTTCCGCCGTACTTTGGCGTTTCGAGAGGAAACCGTCGTGCACCATAGGTCTGACGTACGTCCTGCCCCCGCAGGAGGGTACCGGCGGCGGTGCTTCCACCACCACCATCGCGGTGGGTGTTTCGGCGCTTACAGCAAGCTGTGGCAGCTGTAGCACCATTTTCGAGGCCAGGAGCAAGAAGCGCGGTAGGGGAGCATGGAGCGCGACCAGCGCGGCGACAGATAGCGGGGACAGCGACTCCGGGGGAGGTTCCGGCGATGAACGCGAACAACGTTCTTCCGCCTCCTCCCGCCCCAAGAAGCGCTTCGTTTGGCCCGAGGTGCAGAACACAGATCGCGCCACCCACCGCTTACTATGAAATTCTTATTTGTGGCCGAGGCTATGTTGTGTGGGGTACCCCCACGGCGACTGCAGCAGTGGGGGGAGGAGGTTTGGCGATCCCTATTGTCACGACGCATTGTGGCCGCTATTGAGGGGAGGTCGCTCAACCGAACTACCAAAGACATCGCAGTTGTACTACCGGGCTGCGGCGGTGCGACGTGGTTTTGTGGTCGGTAAACAGGGCATTCCGGTAAGCACGGCATTTCGCGGCGTCGCTAAACCGGCCCCCCTGCGATATGTAGTTTTTTTGTGTAGGCCTCTTGACCGAGAATATTCCCCGGCTGTGATACCAAATTCCACCGGTTGCGCTTACCCGTGCAGGAGCTACACCGAGACTTCATCGCTGCTGTGTTCGACATGGGGCTCAAGAAGGCCGAGCCTTCCCGCTTGAAGGACCTGCTGCCCAAGAAGGACAGGTAGGTCTTTCGGTGTTGATTGCTGTTGACACCACTCTATGGAGTACATGGCTCCTCTTGTGCCCCCATGTCTTGTGTATTGGCGGTTGGTCTTGCTACCCGCCGGCTGCTACTGCTGTGCTCTTGTCTCGTGTTGTTGTGTATTGACGGTTGGTCTTGCTGCCCGCTGGCTGCTGCTGTACATGGCTCCTCTCGTACTCTTGTTTCTTGTGTTGACGGGTTAACGGTTGGCCGTGTCTGCGCTACCCGCCTGCTGCTGAGCCTGCAGCTGAATTTTCTTTTCCTGCTTTTGCTTTGCTGTGGCTGACTTCTGCCCTTGTTTTCGCTAATTCCTTCTGTCGTCAGGTCAATAGAGGCCGATGTGATGAGGAGCCACATCCAGAAGCTGCGGAGCTTTCGGTACCAGATGAAGAACACCTTAGCCGGAGACAACCTCGACACCGCGGAGGAGCTAGCGCAGAAGGGGATACTCCCGAACGGGGAACTAGGCATGAGCCTAGAGCACCGCCGCGACGGGTCCATGTCGTTGACAAGGTCTGGGGGGATGTGTTGGTACGATATTCAGTTTGTTGTTGTAGTTGGTGTTGTTGTTGCTGTTGTTGTAGTTGGTGTTGTTGTTGTTGCTGTTTTTGTATTGGTTATGATTTGTTGCTACTGTTTTGGTTGCTATTGTTGGCGTTGTTGCCTTCGTACTAGAAACCGTTCCGGTCTCTGTTCAGTACCTTCCATCATCCGTTACGATCCAAATGACGCGGACGCCTTCCGTGATCATAGACCAACTACCCAAAAATGTATCTACAACGCCCGGATGTCGTGTGTCGAGGGAAGGCAGAGGGCTGATTCTCCGCTTACGTTGCCGTGTTCTCCTCCATGATCCTACGGTGTGAAGCTGGTCCGTCCGCTTACCGCGCGTTGCCACGTTCGTTCCTTGTCGCACAGAGGGCTTTCGGAGAATGGTGACGGGGTTAACATGGCGGCACCGGACCAGTTAAAGGAGGCCTTCGGTGTCCCTAGGGACTTAGCCAGCGCCATCGACCGTCTTGAAGGCCCGCAGTCCATGAAGAGGAGCGTGGAGCTCATGGGGCAGTGCGTGCAGGTATGTTTTGTTTTACCTGAAAATAGGCTTTTGTGCTTCGTATTTTTGTTGTCGATTTGGGTTAACTTTATAATAAAAGCTTGTGTTGTAACTAAGTCGCAAAAAGTTGCCCACCGAGCTTCAGCATGCCTGGCCGCACTATTGCGTCGCTCTCTGTCTCGAGAGGCCTGACATTCCAGTGGGGTCAAAAAGTGTGATGTGACGGGGATTTTCTCCACCCAACATTCATCCCACGAAAGACGGGTTCCTTATGAAGGGGACAACAGTGCCGCGTTGGTTTGTGTCTGAGGGGTGACGTTCCCCCCCCCCTCTATAGTGCTTGTGTTCAGCGGCAGGGTTGCGTCTAGCGGCGGGTGGTGTAGGACTAGGAACGAAAGCATCGTCCGGCTTGGAGCTGGATGGCATCCAAGGTTTGAGAAGCCTAGCCCGAAACCTTGACTGCACGTCGTCTCGTCCAGGAGTGTACTTGTAGCCGTGCATGCCGTAGTCGTTGGACCATTACCCTCGCATCCCTACAAAGCCGGGACGGAGCACAAGCATGGGGGGCGGTTGTCAAGGTCCACACGGCCGCGTCGGTACATGTAGATAAGGTGCAGTTCAGATTTCGGGCTCAAGCTTGGCCTCGCCCTTCCGAACAATGTCAGGCCTTGGGAATGATGTGGTTTGCTTGTTGGTTTTCTCGGACTTATCGAAGATTGCTTGAACGCCATGGAGCTGGCATGGGCCACCGGGCGCGCCAGCGCGAATAGGTTCTGCGGTGATTCGTTTCGAAGGTCATACCTGGGTGGTTCCGAGCGATTATTCAGGGGGAACTGGAGGGTCCGCTAGCCGTGCCCTGTTAAACATGCACTGCAGTGTCTGGCTCGAGAAGTTGTCCCCTAGTGCCGGGTTGATGCGCGGACGGTCTCTCTCGACACGCATGATCGGCTCTTTGAGGTTCCTTCTCGTCCTCGTGCGTGGTGAACAGGATACTATCTTTTGGCGTGGCTGCCAGGATGGGGTGGCGTGGTGTAGGGTTAGGGTTAGGGAATAGTTTTTCATACGTTTGCAATCATAGTGGATGGGTCAATTGTTTGGCTGCCAGCATGGCATGACACGGCGTAGCTCATGGTGATATTCGACCACGGCATACTCCTGTTTTACTGGCATTGCAGCGCGATCGCATCGCGAGCACGCCGCAGGCAGTGTTGCGCTCTTCACTTCAACTCTAGTTCTCGGCGGTATCTCAATGTTCCATTTTTCTGCACGCCGCCTTTGCAGAATTTCTTGGTCATCAGCACACGTGTTTTGTGTTCCACATGTATGATAGTCCCTGTGTCTTCCCCGCACTCCTGTGTGACCCCGGCTGACGCATGCGTCGAATTTTCAGCGGGGGTCTCTCAATAGTGCCGGTGAAATCGCGTCTCATGGATGGAACATTCAAGCTGTCGCATTTTCTGCATAGATGGTGCCGGGTGCCCGTTAATGTGCCGGTGAATCTGGCGGGCACATACCGGCATTACTGAGGGACCCCGACTGGATACGGAAAAGTGTAGACTGGCGCCCAAAGTAAATGGGCGAAAGCAAAACACGTGTGACATGTTGAAGCTTGGTTTCTTGTCGTCGTCGCGATGCTTGACAGGTGCAGCGCAGTGCTCACGGGATTCTAATGAACGCGATGGAGACACAGCAAGCCCTCATGACCGCCCTCATGGAGAAGGTGTGTGCCGTCGTTGTGCATATCGGTTGTTGGTGCCACTGTTGCTCTTGATCCTCTCGTACCAACACTTTCTCCGGTCGATTCCCGGTACCTCTTAGCGCATACACTTTCGACGTCGAGGGCTTTGCTCCGGGAGTAGCATGTGGAGAATTCGAACCGCCGACACACGCATGCGAGGCACGTGACCCAATGATGAACAAAATTAAAAACGGTGTTGTACGTTTCGGATGTCTGCGTGCTGCACAGGCGTACAGAGTGGTTTCGCCCGGGTGATACAGTGCTCCAACGTGTCTGCCTTGACTCTTGGAGTTGTGTGTTCATCTGGCGTGTCGCTCGTACGATGCCCGTACTTTATAATCGGGGTACCGTACATTGTTGGAACGGAGGCGTTTCTGTGGTCGACGTTGTCGAATTGGAATGCATCGCGAAGAGATCAATCCAACCAGCTTCTGCCGTGTGAAGTCAAGTGGTGGGGCGAGCCCCAATTCTAGTGTTGTGACCGACAGTACTCCTATGGCGTGATGGCGTTTTTGTGACGATGATGTTTTTGTGGTTACACACACTCCGTAACGGCGGGTGAAGCGGGAAGAGCTCACGTTGTGAAATTTTCGCTCAAGTTGTTCGAATACGCAACGGAAGGTGCTATCCTCGACTGACTGTTGAGTGCTGTTGTATTTGCTGTTGCTGCTGGCGTCACGGACGCAGATGCGGGTGGTGGGATTCCCGGTGGCCAGCACGCCGGACGCTCGTGGGGGTGCTGCTGCTCCGGCGTTAGGCGAGACTCCACAAGGTGGTACGTGTGCTCCCGTTTGGAGGTGTGTGGCTTTCGCGAGCTACGGTTTTGCTGCGTGGCGGACCTGATGAACGTGTCTTGGTGCGTTGTCATGGTGTACATCACGACAGCGGTGTTATGACAGCACTCGCAGCCCTCGTGGATGTCAGCCACTTCTGTACCCACGATCGCCACTTCAATATTTTTCTTGTGGTACCTCGAAGAATGCCAAATAATTTTGTATGTTCATTCATGTTTGCTGAAAAAGATGTGTTGCAAAAGGGTAATTGTTTCGCTTTGGTCGCAACTTTTTTTTCACCTATCGTATCACGCGTATTAGCTCGTCGTTTTTTCCCAGACAAGCATGAAGAGGACGACCATGGTCACATCGTACAACATATTCTGTTGAAGTGCCGAGAAACAGCTGCCTGCGAGAACTAGCGCTGCGCTAGAGTAGATGTTTCAAATCAAACTTGTTCTTGAACGCTTGGGTAACGTTGATCACCTGGTGAGCAGCCAAAAGCAGAGCACAGACTGACTGAGCTGTTATCCCAAGCGTGCAAGAAGTCAAGTTTGATTTCAATTCAAACGTCTAGCGCTCGTCCTCGAAGGCAGCTGTTTTTTGGCACCGTAACCGATTATGTTTTACGATGTGACCATGTTGATGACTTTCGAAAGCTGATCAGACCTATGCTCCTCACCAAGGCTACAGGAGATCCTTCATTCAATAATTGTTGCGTGACCTCTCCAAACAATTTCCGTAACCTTCAAACCCAACCCCAACTCGCTTCAGGCGGCTGTCATTCGACAGCGCCCTTGAGCGTGTCCGGCGGTGGCGTCACCAGCAGCCTCTGGCCGCCGAACCAGCAGCAGACATCGTCGTCTCCCTTGGCGTCGCCATCGCCATCTTCGTCCCTGCCCTGTCCTCCAGAGGGCAACGGTGGTCTTGCCGCTTTCCCCGGCAACCGAAAAGTTACCACGACGGTTCGCGTCGCCGGCGGCAGCGGTGGTGGCGATAGGGTTCCAATACCGGCACGGCCTGTGGTGAGCGCTCAAGTCTTGATCCTTGTTCTGGTACGATTCAGCTGTTGGCATGCTTGGTTCCCCTGGTGGTGGCAAGCGCTCAAGTGCTCGTGTTTCGTCGCTTTTTTTACTCGTGCGATTGAACTCTTTGGTATGCTTGGTTTCCTACTGCCCGGTATGCTGGCATGTGATGGTCTTGTTGCTGTCTATTGTTTTTAACCTATGTTCTCACTTTTAGTATCTGCTTGTCGTACACGCCTTCTTCCTCCGTATCAAACGACACCAGCAACCCTTTTCCTGCCACTATGTCACTCACGCACGGCGTGTCGGAAGTCCTTTTCTGTATGCAAAGCTGGGACCGTGGTCATCAGCGACGTCTCCGAACTAAACCAACCACTGAAATGTGCTCTGCGAGCGTGTTTTTCTCAACCAAAGATATTGCACGACATGATAAAGCAATCAGCTTTTTGGTGCCGGCTTGCATTGACAGTCCCAGCGACTCTTCTAACACCCACAAGCGATCGCACGCTTGCCGTATGGCCTTTTTTTCTGTTGCGGGGATCGGTACGTATTCCGTATCAAGCCAAAGCTATCGCACGCTTGCCATACGGTTGTTGTTTTCCAACAGGGGATAGGGACACACGCCGGAGTGGCCAGCATGCTGCAAGCTTCGGCCCAGAGCATGAAGTTTGCGAACCCGGCCCCGGCCCAGCCTCCAGCAAACGCGCCGACATCGACGAGGGCTGCCATCCCGGGGGGCTCTGCAAACCTTTTTTCCTTCGTGCCAACCCCCCGCGCCGACGAAAACCCGGGGTACAAAACAACCGCGTCGTCTTCGGGCACCGGCTCCGCGACAGAACCTGCAGCACCGTCAGAGGAAGTTGCGGGGGCGGTGGCAACGCCGGTGGCGATGGGTGCTTCCGAGGGGGGGGGAGGTCCAAGCAGCGGGCCCCCCCGCGAGGGGGGGGGGTACCTGGGGTTAGGGCTGGAAGTCGGGGACTACTGGGAGACGGACATGTTGGACGTGGGCAACGTCGCGGCGGAGGCGCTGGACGAGACAAGCCTGAGAATGGAGATGCAGTCGAGCATGGACATCCACAGAGTGATGCGGGCCAGGCAAAAGGTTCATGCATGATGATGTTGCCGTTGTTGTTGTCGGGTTGGCTCGTGAAGACTCCGTGCATGGCTCAGGAGTCACAGTCTAGTCAGAATTGTGTTCCCCAAAGGTACCCATTACTCCACAACTATCACGCGCAAGGGCATCACCCACGGGCATTTCTTTGCCTGTAGGATGGTGACGACCAAGTGCGAAAGCGAAAGAAAAAAATGGAGATTAAATTTAAGAGACAGTGAAATCGTGAAAAACTAAGATCGTCTTTTTACTACAGCGGTGTAGTGTGTAGTAGTGCTCCACAACATTTTTCGGCGGTTTTTTCCTTGCGCAAGAATGTAGGATTTTGTTATTGTAGTAAGCTATTATCGTCGTCCCAAGGTTGGGGTTGGCCGTTTCTGCGTCGCCATGGGGTTTGCAAAGGGAGCAGGGAGGGTCAACGTCTTGCCTTCCGTCGTTTGTTTGACTAAAAAACGTTTGAGCTGTGGTCCGTCCGGTGCGGTGAGTTCCGGCGGGCTGACTGCTTCCCGCCGTCCTATTGGATGCTGCCCCCATGGCCACGTTTTTTTTTTTTTTGTCTTGGCTCGTTAACACACAGCCTTTCTGCCGTGTAGGAGCGCTCCAATCCGTGATCACATCACACAGAAGGGTCTCCTCCCCCTGAAGCCCCCTATCCACCCCTCCTGCAGTGCTTGCCTTCGAGATTTATCATTTTTTTTTTTGTCAACCTTGTTCGTGTGCCTTGCTTGCTGTCTGCAGAACCAGTTGCAGCTGCACGCACAGCAAGAGCAACGGCAGGAGCTCCAAGGCGGGGGAGGGAACAACGCCGACGGCGAGGTGGGAGATGCCCGCCGTGCTACCGCCGACGTTGCTGGTAATAGTAGCGCCGACGGGTTCGCGCTTCCCGCTCCGAGAATAACTCCAGGCAAAGACAACAGCAGCGGTTCTACTACAGGCACGGTGAGTTATTATGTAGTTGGGTCTCTTGCAGCAAGATTTTTCGTTTGTTGTTGTGCAAATCTCCGTTTTTTTTTGCCGTGCATTTTTTTTATTGCTTGTGTGGCGTGGCACGTATCGTAGATTGCGGTGCCCCCCCTCACGTCGACCTAGACTGATAGAAGACAACTGACTCTTGTTCGCCAAACTAGTGCATTATCCCGAAATAATACTAACCCTCAGTCATTTCCGATGAGATCAAGTTGTACGTACTGTAGGTCTTTTGCGTGTGGGCCAGCGTAGACATGCCCAATTCCCTTCTGCCCCAGCGATGTCGCTCATCTCGTCTGTCGTCTCGAGGGCCAGTCTAAGGTGACCTGCTCCTATGCACCCCTAACCCCTGTCCGTGTCATCGACCGCCTTCCGTGAACCCCTGTCGCATGCCATGCGCCCAGGCACCCGCAGCAAACGTGGAAGCGGACGGCGCCCCTGCCTTCAGCGTCGACCCCACCTCTCGTGGCGGTGCAACTACCGCCGCAAGAGCAACAACAGGGGATGGCCCGCTGCCAGCACCCCCACCAGACAACGGCACCGCCGCAACGCGTGTAGCGGAAGCTGTCGGTAGCGGCAACGGCATGATGACGTCACAGCAGTACGGGGTGTCTTCGCCCCGGAGTGACGGAGATACCCCGACCTTGATGAACGCCGACTGGAACTGGGACGAGGATAAGTTGGACGCGCAGCTGTTTAGTTTCCTGCTGGACACCCCGCAGTCTGGATAGCAATTATTTCGTTTTGCACCAATGTGTATCAATCAGCGCCCACAGCATTTTTCTGCCGGGTTCGCGTTGTTTTTTTAATATTTTAGTCGCCCGAGTCATGTCTGTAGAGTTTTTGACTGGAAGCAAGCTTGGGTGAAAGGCCAACTGAGAGACATGTCGTATCTCCCGTGTACCATATCTACTCTGGGGGCGTCCACTCCTGTACAGAACAGGCCGTTAATTTAGCAACGCCAAACTTGGTGAAGGCTCAACGTTAGATATCATCATATCATCACCGTCAAGGGCAGCAGGTCATCATATGGTAGATTTTTGTGTAGATTTGCTGCTGCCCTCTCTACTTCTTGATTTTGGTAAAATTGGGGCTTTTATATCTGAACGGGTTGGGGGGGGCGAGTCCGGTAACTGGGATGGATGCGACTGACCTTGTTCATGCCGAATTTGACCGCGCTTGAAAATAGGGTGCACAACTTATCACAAAAAAACTGTCTCTCCTCCAATGAGGGGGTGTGAGGACGTTTGGGCGACCTTTAGACTGTGTGGCGGATTGCATTGGAAAGATTTTCATAATAATCTACGGGCTGTGTTTGTTTTCGTTCCTGCTGACACAATATTATTGAGGAATAGAGGACGATACATGACATGATGGTAGGCTGGATCTAAGCGAACATCGATATCCTTTTTTTGTTTGTTGTGGAGTCAGCGTCCCTTGCATCGTCGGTGTTATTCCGGTTGCTACATGTATGTATGATACGCTGATAGCGTGCTTCTCGCGCAACAGATTTGGAGTTCGATAGCTCGAACTCGGCCACTGAATCTTCTTGTTGATACGTTTTCTACCTCGATGTTGGCAGAGGATAAAAACAAAGGGGGGGGGGAAGCCAAGCATCCGGTTGATGATGTTGTCTTCACAGCTATAAATGAATCTATGATGCGTCGGTTGAGTTGTTTTTGTTTTTTTTTGTTTTTTCTCCCATCATTGGACTCTGTCGTCTGCCCCTCTGGCCCCTATCCTCCACTTCTACTAGCTAGACGACCCAACCGGGGTCACATAGGAGGGGGGGTTTGGACCCCCTCCTGCGGTATATGCCTGAGGTATTTTTATCGCGAGAAGGGTACAGCAATCCCTTCCCTCGCGACTTACGAAGTCGATTATGGTTTACTAACAAACGAGCTTTGCAGCGCGTCGCTTTCATCCTAGACCAGGATTTATTTAGTGAGAAAAATACTCTCTCTGCCGGGACTCGAACCCATGACCTGGCCCTTAGCAGGCTGCGAGGCTACCCACTAGACCACCGGGGCGACCGGTGTGTTGTGTTTATGTCGGTTGAGTTGCTGAAATTTCCCTTGAGAAAGTATGCTCAAGAAGTACCTTTTTCAACATCCATACCTCCCTTCTTCCCCTCGCTCCTCGACAAGCTTTTGCTTAGACATGGGTTGTAGTGAAGGGGGGGGTCTTTCTGGCGAGCAGGGCTAGACTCACCCTCAAGGGATGACCGAAACCTTCTTGCTGCTGCGCATATCCGCCGCGAGGCATGCGCGTGGTGGTGTAGTTGGGTCGGCACTGATGGGGTCAGGCAAAAAAATGTAGATGCGCGGGCCTCTGGCCGTCGGCGTAGGCAGCGATGCCCATCTCATTTTTTGTGCGCGGAGGCAGACACCGTCAGAAGGTGGACGGGAACTATGTACACGGCCCTAGGTTGGCTAGAGGGCGCTGCATTGCCTCAGTAACCTGGCTTCGCCATCAAAGGAGGAGGGAGCAGGTGGCGACGAGCTGAACTGGGCTGGTTGACCCCTTCGGCGCGAGAATTTTTATTTTTCAGACCAAGAACCTTGAGTGCAACGAGGGAGAAAGCGAGGAACCGACTGGGAAGGACAGCAACGAGAGCGTGTACGGACGGAGCAGGTCGAGTGGCGTTATGCTCGGGCTGACTACAGCGGCGCCGGACGGAGCAGCGGCACCGGAGCATGCGGGCGACATCGACCCGTGGCGCACGGACAAACATTTATATCTGATCTGTGTTGTCAATTTTTCTCGTTTTTTTCCTGATTTTCGGTGTTGGTTCTATGTGATGACGTCGTCACTGGTTTTGTAGAGAGACCCGTCAGAGATGGCGTGGCTAACCCGGGTGCCTTGGTTATGTGCCTGATCGTGGAAGACCCCTTCAATGTGGAACGATTCTTAGCTATTGTCGATATTTTCACTGCGTGCCTAACACAGACGATCGGGAGAGGTTTGGGTGATTGTCCATTCATTGCAATCATGGCTTTGGTTGGTTGTTCTTTCTCACTGTACGTCCGCAGACACATTCTGACAGCACTTCAGACAGCAAGTATGCTGTAGTCGGCAATCATTCGTTTTGGTACAGAGTGGAACAGGGAGGGGGTGATGTTGCTGTAGTCGAACGGTGAGACGGACGTGTAGTTCAGTTTTGGGCACGCGTACGGTGCTGCAGAGATATATATAGGTGTAGTAGTACCTCTTCGGGCTCTTGTACACATTTTTCTTGCTACGTGTGCGTGTTCTTTAGATCCTCAGATGGCTCTAGCACTTTCGTGACCACGGGCCGAGAGTCTTTGCTAGATTTTGGCATTTAGCAACTGGCATACGGTTTAATGTGAAGTCAACAACAACAACATACCGATCCAACTGACGCCGACGCCTTCCGTGGTCTCACGCCAACTAGATAGACTAATCTGTTGTACCGACAAGTGATACCACACAACGCCTCCAAAAACACTGCAGGTGCAACAGAGGGCAGAGATCAACACGCACATCGGGCGACTAGATGCTGGAAACGCAAAGAAGTCACTATTATTGTATCGGCTTCAGATGAGGCTGAGCCGTGATCAAATCATCTCTGGTTTGTAGTCAAGCGCATTCTGCATGCATGCCCCTTGGGAAGGTCCCAGGGTAACGACGGACACTCATTCGGGAGAACTTTCGCCTCAGCAATACAATGCGATGTTGCGCTCTTCGTGAAGTATATCGGAGAGCCGAGCCAAGCGTGCCACGTTCATTCGTCAGGTTCCCCACGTAAAAGGCAGATATATCGAGCGGGGACGCTTGCTGTCGCCCGATGACACTTCACCCCAGCTAGAGAGCGAAACAGCTGGCAGAGAAAAACAGACTCTGACGAGCAGTTATGGTCGGGTTCGAACCACGTGGCAACAAGAACACCCCCTCATCATTGCTCTATGCATCGAGCTCGAAAAAACTTATCCGACCGACCTCCTGATCCACAGACTATAGGGAGAACTCAACATTTGTTTGCCGAAAGCATGGATCACGTGTTGGTCCCAAACCCAGAGTTGCTCACCTGAGCTCACGCACTGCACACTGAAGTGTGTTGTGTGCTAACACGCCCTTTGTTGTTGTCGACCATGTATGTTCAGGTTCTTAATTCATGTGATGACTAACTCTGTGACGATGCTCTCTGCGCGCCGATATCCATGCGTGCGCGGGGAATCACGCGTGCATGCGAATCGAGTCCGGACCGCGAAGAGCTACGTGCCCCAATCCTTCCGAAAAGCGTCTCAAAAGACAAGTTTATGGCCACGCCGCCTGCCGCCCGAGCCAACACTCTACGTTTGCTCGCCAAGCGTGCCTTGCTGAAAAGCGCGGAATAACCTTCCAAGCAATCATTCGTTGTGCGACGTCAGAGAGACGTACACTACCTCGTTGATACGCCTACTGTTGGCGGCACGCCCAAAATTCACTCACGTTCTGTCTTCTTCGTGGACAACGCATTCGGCCGTCAAAGTAGTGAAACGAAAACATGACGTCCATCATGAAAGTGGTAAAACGAAATACTGAGTCATCCTTCTGTTCATGCCACTTCGACCAGAGCCAATTTTCATAAGGCAACACGAAGCCACACCCTTCAGCTGCAGCAGGACTAGTTTGAAAATCTCTATGCTCGCGAACCGAGACCCCTAGGCACCTGGTGGGGTGATGTAACCCCTAAGTGGACATTCCTTCTACCCAACTATGAACAACAATGCAAGGACGGGCTGGTCAAGTACCGTGTGTAATTTTTACCATACGCTTACTAACAAGCTCGTTAGAAGGTGGTCTACTGTATTGCATCATGCCCCAGCGAAGAGGAGAGCATATGCTGCTGTTGCCCGTAAACAAGCACTATTTCGCTTGACTCCTGCGAGTTGCCAACGCCGCCTTTCTCATTCCACTGCACTCTCCACCTCTAAACACATACCAAAAATCAGGCGGACAAAAAACATACGGCACCGGCTAGGAAATCTTCACCGGACGTGCGGTGCAACCGATGCGCGGAAAAATCGAGAAATGCGGCGGAATCAACGTGCGGCCCAATCAGAGGGCCTTGGGGAGGTTTGCGATGTTTCCCTGTTGGCTGTTTGGTCATGAGATTCCGCAGACCAGCATCCCGTGACGAGTGGCACAGTAATTCGCAAGGGAAAAGCGAAACGTGCATGGGCAGCAACGAAGAGGGGGTGGGAGGAGGGGAGGAACGTGAGGGACAAGCAAAAACAGAATGAGCAATGCGAAAGATGATGAGAGGTTCCAAAGGCTGAGAACGTGCAGACGAAGTGCACAAGCTTGGGACTGAGAGAAAAACCCAACAACAGAGCTACACACAAACCGCTCAAGTTATGTTCTTGGTTGGGAGATGTGAAACGAAATGGTACGGGTATGCACAGAGCACAGTCGATTCAAGTACCGGACTGCCCCACGGCCAATAACTAACTTCTTCATTCGATGGCGTTAACGCACCTCGGTGCTGCCCTCTTTGGAGCTGCCTTCTTGGGTGCGGGCTGTATTGGACGAATTCGGTAGTGGTGACCCGCGAAATTTTCCCGTATGGAGCGGTGACACCAGACACAAGTCACCGGAACATCCACCAACAATGCATCGATCGGGGTTGGTCACAGAAAAAATCAAACCCGCCGAGAGTCCAACGAGGATCCATCAAATACCCATCAGTCATCAAAGATCCATCCAAGGTAACGTGGGAAACCCATCCATCGAAGTCGGGGAGCGATTCCCGGTGGGAAACCCAAGACCCGTCGCGGCCACGGCGCCCAGAGTAGCGTAGGTGCGTGAAGGACACGATGCGGCCGTGGTGAGTTGAGACGGACCACCGCCATGACCATCACCGACGGTAGTCCATTGCCAAACAGAAAGCCATGGACGATCAGCGGATCGGTGCAAAAGAAAGGGGGCATGCGAAGGGGGGTTTGTTGAGCGTAGCGCGCAAAAGACCACAGAAAATGCTGGAGATTTGAAGCACATCACACCGCGACAGCGGACTAGACGCAACCGTGGACTGAAGACAAGACGCCAGCGTCCACGTAGCATATCTTGTCTGAAACGGCTTCCAACACATCTGTTGTGGAGAATGATTCATTCAACACACACCTTGCCTTGGAAAAAAGAGCGCAACCCTACCATGACCCTGCCAAAATGCTTCAGAACAACTTCAAACAACTTCAACGTTCACAAGACCGCGGTACAGAATACCAACACGGACTCCTGAAAATCCTCCGGTGAAGAGTCCATCCCTCACCCATACGCCTGCCTCGACCAGGATCGGAAAGATTCACGCTCAAGAAAAACAAATAAGTGAAACGTACAGCACACAATAGTGCAGGGGATACGAGAGACGCTGAAACGACGCAAGCAACGTCATGCAGCAGTGTACCAATAACCAATCTCAACCCCGCCCCCTAAATATTACCTTGGGGGCAGCCTTCGCCTTGGGAGCAGCTTTGACCTTAGGAGCGGCCTTGACCTTAGGAGCGGCCTTCGCCTTAGGAGCGGCTTTCGCCTTAGGAGCGGCCTTCGCCTTAGGAGCGGCCTTGACCTTGGGAGCGGCCTTGACATTGAGAGCCGCCTTCATCGCCTTGGGTGCCTGTGTCATGTCATTCCCCATGTCGGTCGCGCGACGAGACAAGGCGAGTGAGTCAGAAGACAGTCTGGGCGATGGCATGGGTTAGGCGGGGTCTGAACAAGAGGACCAAGAATCGGTTGAAGTGATATTCACCAGGGAGTATTTCGTGGTGGGAAGGGTTCGGGGACAGACAGGAATGGAGATTGGCAACACGGGTGTGTAGAGGGATCGAAGGTGGCGTCTTATGAGAGCCTCCATTTTCCTTTTTGCAGGGCGAGGGTACTACGAAGCCGACATTACGTGCATGATTCAGAGGTTTGGCGACATCTCACCCATCGCTCCGGCGTAAAAAACTTACACAAACGAAGCTGACCCAACGCACCGCTTGTCACGACAAACCACGACCCCAAACCCACAAAAAAAATAAACGCCAACACTGCGCACAAGAGCCAAGAAGAAACGGACTGGGGCGAAGGCAAGGATTCGATGTTCTCGTTCCCGCACCTTGGTGGCCTTGACGGGCGAGGCAGCCACCGGGGCAGCGTCGCCTCCGCCCAGCTTGAGCAGACCCGCACCCTTCAACGCCTTCACCACGCTCACCACCTGAGGTTTTGACACAAAATGGTGGTACCACAGGAGCGAGTCGAGACAGGAAGGTCAGCAGCGGAGTTGCATACGGCAGTGTGCGCCTGAACCAACACAAGAGGCAGCTTCTTTTTTACAAGCAAGCATCTAGGATTCAAGTATGGAATTGGTGGAATTTCGGGGCATGGGGTTAGGGGTTAGGGTCTACGTAACTCCTGCCTCTTTGCTCCATTTATGGACTTCATTTCTTCGAGTAGGGTGTTCCCGTCGGCATCTCTTTCATGTGGGCAGGGACCTTGAGGCTGTGCATTCAACGAATGTAGCGCGCCGCTCGCGAAAACACAAAAACGCCTCAATCATTCGTTGAAACATGACCCGATGTCGCAGAACGCCTACGGTCGGGAAAACAATACGGTTTAGCGAAATTCGATATGTACATACCGTAGTACGTATCAATGGACGGCATTCGCCTATGATGATTATTTCACCCCTGGTATAGACGGCATTCGCCAAAATTACCGATTCATGCACTTGCTACCGCAGTAAACGCTACTCACGGCTGGGATGGCGAGCTTCGCTGGCTCAATGGCGATGAAACCGAAGAGGTTGATGAGCACATCCAAGTTGTCCGCAGCGAAGGAGAGGAGACCGGCCTCCTCCACTTTTGTCAACGTTGTCGATCGATGGAGCGTTTCGTTGTTGCCATCAGTCAACGAGAGAAGAAAAATGGGGAGCGGGGGGGGTTGTATCAGACAATTATTGTCGGTCGGCGAAAAAGAAAAGGAGGTTTAGATTTGTATCAGCTTGCAACAATAATAAAGATCGCATGCTGACGCCGGACGACGAACAAAAAGAGAACAGTTCGAGAAAGGCGTGAATACCTGGTGAAGTCTCGTTGTCGCCATCGCTCAGCGTGAAAAAAAAGAGAGCTCGATCAGCTTCAAACACGGATTGCATGCTACAACGAATGAAAAAAAAAAATCAGAGTGGCGCTTGAAACAAGGTGGAAATAAGCCTGGACAAAGCATTGTTTAGCAACGTACCTCATCCACAGGTACAGGTTCGCACCATTTCCTAGTCTCAGCGGAATAATCGATTTCTTTATTGCGGGCCCGTCCTGCTGTGCTCAAGCTGCACTTGGGGCAATGATGTGCTCCAGAGCGCAACCACGGCCTTCAAAGCCACAAAATGAAAAGAGAGAAAATACTGTCGCTGAGATGGACCGTCGCCCTGTCGCTAGCTACCGTTCCGTGACTAGCAAGCGGCATCATCAAGAAGCAAAAAGAAAAAAGAACACTTACATTGAGGGAGCAGCTTCTCTGCCTCGCTGAGGGTGAGCCCGGCGTCCTCGAGCTCTGAGAGGAGTCCCGACTATATATCCAGACGGAACAAAGAAATCAACGCAAGGACTGTTACACATAGACCAATCAGCAGTGTAGCAAGCAACATGAATAGTCACAACAGTGAGACATACGGGCAGATCTACATCGGATCGAAAGACAAGCGGAAAATACGACAGCTTCGATGCACCAGCAGACAGACAGCCAGACTACGCCAGACAAGTCACTGGGACGGGTTCATCCACCAGCGGACAAGTCAGACTAGATGGACGAAAAACAGACGAAAAAAGTCGTTTGGACAGGTCCATCTACAGGAAGACAGTAGTTAGGATATGAAGGAACGAACGAAGGTCTGACACCGGCGGGTGGGAACAACCACCGGCACGTATGTGCGAAGGCCAAAGTTCCGCAACTCACGGAACACCCCACCCAAGGCTACAGCCCGGCGCTTTAAACCCTATCCCTAAGCTGACGCCGACAACACCAAGATCCATACCGATCTTCTTCGAACACAAAAAGAACAGAAGCATATCAACTTCCAAAACCCCGAATCATGCCCAAACATTAAGAAAGCTGAATGACGAGTGTCTGAGGGAACAAAAAAGTGCCTGTACAAGTCGCGCGCGGCAAATCAAAGGAGTCTGCATGATACCACAACCAAAAAGAGGCTCCGTGAATCGCACACAACAATCAACAAAACACCAAATGTGTGCAATTGTGAAAAAAATGGGGGTCTCTGTCTGGTGCCGGTATGTGCCCAGAAAATCCACCGTTACTTTGCCGGACCGGCACTATTCAAAGCACTGACAACGACATGGAAATTCAGTGCGTGCCCGCCGAAATTACTGGCACTATACCGGGCATTGGCATTATTCGACCGGCCCTTAACAGAGACCCCCTCCGTGCTATTCAAGTAATGCAGCCGTCAGAGCAGAATTGGGGATCCAATCCCTACGGTCGGGAAGAGACGCGAGGAAGCTGACATGGCAGTATCGCATGTGCGGGATGGCAGTAGGCTTATACCTGATATGCGGGCATTGTTTTCGACATAAACGGCCTTGGCGCGCATAGGCAAACGCATAATGTCGACCGTGCATACTATTCTTTTTTGGCGCATAATGTCGCGCATATATGGGGATACTGTGCATAAACGTGGTTATGCCTGCTTCATTTTGAGGATAGGGGTGCATCAGGAGTGGGTTTAGGTACCTCCTGTGGCACCAGCAACCAGCAACTTGAACAACAACGAACGCTTACTGCTTAACTGAGCAACATTATCCTTAAACATAGCCCATATTATTATTCACTCATTTAGAGAGGAAGGAGCGGCGCTTGTTTAAGGCGAGCTCTGGGCTCTGAGTCTTTGAGTTGTGAGGTGTGACTATTACGGAGGAACATAGTATTCAGGTCCTTGGCAGTTGGTTGAGTAATATAAGGTCAATTTTTTCGAACTATAGCTTCAACGAATCGTATGGAACAGGCGGTCACGATGAAAAAAAAAAGAAAGAAAAAATTCGGCGATGCCACAGAGAAACGCCTCATTCTGTCATTTTTTACCCCGCGGGACAGATTCGAGATATGGCGCAAATCCTAGCATATCTCGGCCGTTTGTTCATGCACGTTAACCCACGATGGCTTGAATGAACCGCATGATCAACGCCGTCATCATGAAAAACAAAATCCAAAAAACAAAGTTCTTCCCGAAGAGAAATCGCCACATGTGTCGAATTTCGGCCTTCTCGTCGGCGGAAAATTTGGCTCAGGTTGTTTGATATCTTGAGCAAAAGGCTGCTTATGTCCACCACCCACAGCTAAAACGAACCGCATCACTGGGATCGCCATGCAAGAAAAGAAATGCTGAATAAAATGTTGTTGGTGTTTATAAATTATCATGTATTATCGACCGCAACACGTCAACCTTGCTCATTGACGATTGAGCTGAAGACACCACACAGAACGAATGAAAACATGAAAACTGCCATTCCCTTGGAATCTGCAACATGTAACGACTCAAAACACCACATTGACTCAGGGGTGAAATACGTGAGGAGTATACTACGAGACTGTGAAATGTCCAGAAGGGAGCCTGTCTTGGGGGCCAAGTCGTCACGCTGCTGGGCAGCTTGTTGCTCGCGCGCCTCTTGCTCGGGCGTACGTGTGTCCACTTCGGGTCCTTGCTGCTGCTGCTTCTCCTGGGCTGCCTCCTCTGCCTCCGCCATCGCGGCCTCGCGAGCGGCGACGGTTGCTCCGCGGACAGCGAGAGCTGCCTCCTTCGCGCGCAGCATGTTCGCCAAGTTCGCTTTCTCCGTCCTGGCCTTCCCTTTGGCTGTCACGCCGGTCGCAACATAGCGACCCTTCCTTTTGGTCACCATGTGCGCACGTGCAGCCGTAGGCACCAGACCCAAGGTGCCTCTGTTCCACAGCGGAGTGCTCGACACCGACGTGTTGGATTTCAAAAAGGGGCACGCTGCCCGGATCGCACACTCCCAGGGTTTCCAAAAAGTTCTGTGTGCGTTGCCAATTCAGAACCCGGCTGTTCCAACTCTATTTCCCAGTGAAAAAAAGGCGCATGAAGTGCCCATTTTCAGCTGCATATTTTGTACGGAATACAGACTTCCTGAGCGCAACTCGGGTATCTGCAGAGAGCGGAGGTTATGAGCTTTCTTTTGATCCCACGTTCATACTCGTGTCCTCCTTGTGGGTGTCCCAAGATCTGTTCTGAAGGCCACAAATGCGTATATTTTCGGATGAAGCCTAGATGTAATTTAAAAAAAAAAAACATTTTTCATGGCATTTTAGACCTGAATACTGTGTTCCTCCGTAATAGGTAGGTAAGTCCTAAAGTCTTGTAATTAATCAGCGGATCAGCGGCGGG